TGATTTCAGAATAATGAATGCCTGTCTTGCCTTTCCAATCTTGTCTTTGACATCCTTATGTGTGGCACCAGTAACTGTTCGATACTGTATAGGTAACTGAAAGTTGTGACTACGCTTGAATTTCTCACACTGATAGTGATTGGTTCTTGTTATTGTTGACGACTGGATGTCTTCATCACCCCTGTCTCTCCTATATTCACTTGACGTTTTGTCTTCACTGCCTTTTGTGCCACCTTGTTGGTTTTCGCCTACTTTACTATGTGACTAATGTGATTTTAGCGATTTCCTGGATTAATACCAATTTTATCCGTCAATGAAAACATTATATTATGTTATTTAAAATTATATTGCAAATAATAGCCAATATAAAAAGGCATGCATATTTTATTATATTTCAACTTGAACTATAGATGTGAAATATAACCATACCTCGTTCAGGAAGTACACCTTGTAGGCTACTTCGTGTATCATATTGTTAACTTTTTTGATAATTTGTGGTTTTAAATGATTCTTAAATAAGTGTAGGAGTACTTGAACGCTTGAGCAACAACATAAGTAGATAAAAGCCTACAGACTTCGGGTTCGATAAAATTAGTCATGTGTTCGAATCCCGGTGGGTGCATCATGCTGAACAGTCCGAAACTATGAAGAAATGGCTGTCCACTACTCCCCGTTTTTCAGTGGTTCTCTAACTTATTTTAGTTCGTAAGCAGCGAACCTATAGCGAATAGAATCCCTGCATACCAGCACTTGATTCAACTTCTCTGTTTTAACACCTTATCTTTTTTCTGATACACATTGTTTGGAGAAAAAGCATTCATGTTATTGAAGTGGAAGGATTAGGGTTAGTGAGACTAAATGATAATCAGTCCATAGTAGAAGTTATCTACTAAGAAGTTGTTCAACTGAACATTACAGATTAGTACGCAGCACTTTTATTTCAGTAGACTACTTAAACTGTATTTCAGCCAAGATAAATAGATTTATTCAAGTGGCATAGCGGTTGGGACGCTTGCCGACCATGCACATGGCCCGGGGTTCGATTCCCGGCCGACGCACTCCTTTACCCCGCTAAGCCAGAAATAATGCTGGTGAAGAGGAAAGGTTGGGCATGAGGCTAGCAACCCCATCCTGTAAAATAAACACTGCTACAGAAACTTCAAGCCACTAGCTTGAATCCCTATGTTCCACTGGGAACGTGAAGGAAAAAAAATACACTCAGTATGACAGTTCTCCGTGTCTTTGAAAGGACTGTATTATTTAGAAAAATGACAATAAAAGATTCTTCGGTGTTTAGTGATTCTTCAGTGACGATAGTCTATTGTTTTTTGTTTCTAATTTTTATTCCTTTGTGTTCCTAGTGGAACATAGAGCTTCAATCTTCGGCTCTAAAGTTCCAGTAGCAGTGATTTTGTCTTTTATGAGGTGAGATTATTAGTCTCATGCCAACAATCCCTCTTTATAGAGCTTACTATCGACTGACGTTCAGCAGTCAGTCGGTCGGGGATTGAACTTGGACCATATTCGGCGTGGTTAGTGTACATTCTACTGCTGTATCACCGGCGCAACTGTAACTTACAGAAAAAAAGGATAATCTGTAAATAATCACTTTCTTGAAAATGATTTAAATGAATACATCACTTGATATGTGTTGTTTCCATTTAGTCTATTCATTACAATACACTGTTTTCTTTCTTGAATATTTTATGTCCCATGTAGTGACTACTTACCAATTAAGGTTACATGTTTAATTGGTCTTCCTCTTTCATTTATGACGTAATATAACTCAGAATATTTGACTTTTCGTATTCAAACGGAGATAGAACAATGACTGATGTAGAATATGATATGGAACCACTTTATTTCGTCGGTTCTCATCAACTGCGTACAACCTATGCTGTTTAATAAAACCAGTTATCATAAAATTTTAACATACATTTTGTTTATCATCATGAAGCAGGCCTGATTGCGTCGGTGGTACAACTGTAGAATGCCCGCAAACCACGCATGTGGTTCGGGGTTTGAACCCCCTGTCGACGCACTCTTAAACTCTCGCTAATCTGCTAATAAGACCGGTAAAGATTGAAGGTTGAGTGTGAGGGCAAAGTTAAATTATCACAGCCAAAACCACAGTGACTTTGAACAAATAATCAGAACTCAGATGCAAATAAGTCGCGTGATCGTTGAAAAATATACTAAATAATATTGCAAACAGAATATTACACTATATGGTTGTCGCTTATATGTTGTAAGAATGTCTCCCGGTCACTGCACAGACGATCTATGGAGAAATCGTACCATGCGCGATATACCCATTCATCTAGGTGACTGTAGGTCATGGTACTTTGAGATCCATTGATATTTCTGACACTATTCTTCAACCTACTCCTAACCCTAGACCCTAAACCTTAATGTAAGAAGCCATAACCCTACCTAACAGTACAGATTTTCAGAAAAAGTACCTAGTAAATAAGTAGAACACTATATCTACCCTCTCCAAGTTCAAAAACGTAGATATAACTTGATTTGGAATGATATTTCATAACATTCCCTGCATCTTCAAGTGTTGGTTTGTAGGGATTTGATTGGTTACAGGATTTCATCATGAGCTGACACCAGTTAAAGAACCATTGGAAAACCTGGGAGTAATGGACAGCTATTTCGTCCTAGTTTGGGGCTCTTCATCAGTACGCACCCACCGGGATTCGAACCCAGGACCTTCTGGTTACAAGGCGAGCTCATATACCATTAAGCCACTGGGACCCGATCCCTGTATCTGATTGGTTCTTGAAGGTCAACATTTGAAAGACTTTTACTTCGGCTATGATACATTAACTTCGCCGACATGAGGCTAACAATCCCATCGCGTAAATATAAACACCACTGCTACTGAAACTTCAAACATCTAGCTTGAAGCCCTACGTTCCACTCGGAAAGTAAAGCAATAAAATGAAATTTAAAAAATAAATCAGTCCTCTAGTAAGGAGTGTTGTCAGAAAGCCACAGTGAGGGGAAAAAGTATAAGGGTAATAAGGTTATTTTAAACAATAGGTCCTGGGTTCGAATCCCGGTGGGTGCGTACTGATGAAGAGTCCCAAACTAGGACGAAACAGCTGTCCAGTACTCCCAGGTTTTCCAATGGTTCTCTAACTAATGTCAGCTCAAGATGAAAATCCTGTAGCCAATCAAATCCCTACAAACCAACACTTGAACTAAAATTAATTATTCAATTGAATTTTAGATTTTCCCGTCGATTGATTGGACCGAAGTGCTCGGTCTCAGGTTGACATGCCGGCTTCTTGTGCAGATGCTTCGACGATGTCTGGGCATTTAATTAGAATTTAGTTTGTGGATGGTGACTAGCAGTAGAATCCAGGATGCGCATTTCGTCCTATTTGGGACTCGTCAGCAATTGGATGTACCTGCATTTCCCAGTGAGTGATGATGTTCCCACCGAGAATCGAGGCGTTTGAAACTATGTGCACTGGGTTCGAGCCTCGGTGGGAACATCATCACTCACTGGGAAATGCAGGTACATCCAGATGACGAGTCCCAAATAGGACGAAATGCGCATCCTGGATTCCACTGCTAGTCACCATCCACAAATTGTACTAAAATTAAGTCTAATATGAAAGTCAAGAGAAAAATGGGAGGCGAGAAGCGGAAAACAAAGTGATGAAATTAGAAGAAAAGGAGTTACCGATGAAAGAAATACCAGGATAACTGAAGCTTCACGACGTATTCCTTTTGGAATATATAGGACAAGAACCGATGAAATATAAATGGATCCATTGTCTGTTCTATCTACGCTCAAAGGGGAAATCTTGTATGAAACTTTTCGTATTCATTTGTGATCAATCATCCAATGACTCAATGCTCGATTTTTGTTGTCTTCAGATTAATTTGCAATAAGATTTGTAGGAATCAGATTGATTTCATGGCAGATTTTGTCAAGCACACACTGACACAAGGCGACAAACAAACAGTTGTTTATATTAGATGGTTGGAGGCAATCGGCAGGAAGCCTTGCTTGACCTAGGTTTCGTGCTAGTTGGCACTCGCCAGTCAGCAAGGCGTATCTGCAACCTTGAAGGAACTCATGTCCCTTCTGAGATTCGAACCCACGTCACCCAGTGCTGAAGTCAGCGATTACGTTACCACTGAGGTATTCGGGCTCGCGATTGACTGGACTCTAGCCAGTAACTAGTGTGATGTGTCTAGTCCTTTCTTTAGTGCCGACTGAATTCTATCATCAAATCAATGTGCACGGTGATGGCGAGCTACCCAGAATGGTGGCCACATTGCAAACTTGACTGCTGATAGAATTCAGTCTGCAGTAAAGAAAGGACTAGACACATCACACTAGTTACTGGCTAGTGTCCAATCAAAGTAAACAGTTGTTTCTGTATCACAACTTTTACACTTTTCAGCACAACATGCACAGTACTCCATAAGAGATCGACCTCAAAACTACCAGTTCATGATGCATGCACGTATGCGATCAGTGGTATAGTCTGACTGTTATTCTATACCAACATAGGTCAATAACTATCGTCATAGGCACGTTCTGTTACACCTTATCATTCGTATTCAAACCTCAGTGAATTCGCTTTTAAAAGCTAATCGAAAATGAACAGTTAGTTCACCTACAGCGGCCTGTTTGAATTCCCATCCAACACAATGCATAAGATTTTCTCTATTTCTCTTTGTTTATACCAGTCAATTATATCTATTGTGTCGCCAAAGATACTGACGCATATATCGAATTAGCTTTCAGCCTGTTGTTGGGCTTATCTTGGAGGCGTATAAAAAAAATACCATAATTGCGTAAACCTTTTGTGTAGGATGAAGCTTTCATTATTATTATTATTGTTATTATTATTATCATAAAAATGTTAAATGCGAATTCAAACAGATATGAAGTTTCTAACTATGATGATTAACTTGAAACTATTTAATAATTTTTGTTTTCTAACATTTTTCTTTTATTTACACTTTAGATGAATGGTCCATGTGAACAATATATCATCGGTATAGCAGGGTAAATATATATGTTTACTAATCTGTATAAATAATAAATTTTATAGTAGTAATCTTTTTTTATTAATGGACTCAAAATGTTTGGTCTTTTGTTTTTTCAATGTGGACTTCACCATGAGCGGAAATCTGTTACAGAGATCATTGGAAACCAAGAAGCATTGGAAGACTATTTCGTCCTAGCTTTGGACTCTTCAGCAGTGCACATACAAGATCCTACCAGTGGCCAAACCCATGACCTTTAGATTACGACACCAAGCGGGCTGATTATTCAGTCACTTGGACTAAAACTTAATGGCCCGTGAACTCCCAAGTTTTCGGTGATCTCTCTGACTTATGTTGATTTTTGACGAAGTCTCCTTTGAAATTCATCCAGACCCCCACAAAAATTAATAATCTAAGTTAAGTAAAGGACAAATAAAATCCATTCATAGCTCTATTCTATCTCAACTCGTGGATGCAGAAAACAAGAATGACGTTAATCAGGCTTTCAAAGTCATCTACGGCATACCAACTAACCTTAACTTCACTTTAAGAGTTCGTCTACTACATATTGCTGAGACTGGCTGTTGTATCCAGAAGAAGTTGGTTCAGACACTGTCCTTAACTTGGTCATCAAGGTTTCGATGATCCTCAATGTGTTGTGGAAATTTCCTTAATTTTGTTTGATTATGTAGTTGCTGTTACATTTTTATGCTTATTATAATTTATGCATCTTTAGTAAGTTGCTAGCCTCATGCCCAACCTTCCTTCCTTACCAGTCTTACTACTGGCTTATCGAGGTTTGGGAGTGAGTCGACCGAGGATTGAACCCCGAAACACATTCGTGATTGGCCAGCATTCTACCGCTGTGCCACCAACGCCGATAGTATTTAAAAACACCAGTGCTGTTAATGACGACTATTCTAGAATATTCTATGTATATAAATATATATATATATAAATATAAGTGTAGAGCCAGAAGAGGAGGAAATTATCGAAAAGGATATTCTTTGCTCAATTATTTTTCTAAATATCTGAATGAATATTTACGCTATATCACTATCATACTGGAAAATACAACATGTAATTCCAAGGGAGTTATGCAAATAACATCATTGTGTGGGTGCATTGACAGTTACACTAACACAGTTTTTGTTCAACAAAGAAATACTGTTTCTTTTCAACGACTTCATTTGCAAGCTGTACAGTCATATTTATATTACGCAAAAACGCATTAAGTGGCACTAGAAATTACTCAGTCAGTATACATACGATTAGAATAAAGATAATTAAAATGATGTACTAAGATGTTATAGTTGAGGTGAATGAATTACAGAATTTTTAAAGATTATTTAATACGTGAATTAGTATTAAGATTTTAAAATTGTAGGTCAAACGTTGTCACAAAAAAAATCAAAGTGCGGTGATTATACCAATAAAGAACGTGAAGATGAACTAAGGTGGAATGAATTCAAATGATAACATAAAATATGAAAAAGAATATTACGATAACCAAAGGAAAGAAAGGGGGTGGTCAAATATCCAGGTGGTAAAGATCCTGGATCTATCGCTGGTTTCAGAAGACTAAGTCTGATACGCAGAATACTATGCACTGTAATCGACTCAGAACAACAGAAAACGGTTGGACAACAGAGATTGTTTGTTCTTCAGGCGATTGTTTTTTCCTTCGCGTTCCCCAGTGGAACATAGGGCTCCAAGCTAGCGGCTTGAAGTTTCTGCAGCAGTGTTTATTTTACAAGATGGGGTTGCTAGCCTCATGCCCAACGTTTCCTCTGCAGCAGCATTATTTCTGGCTTAGTGAGGTCAAGGAGTGCGTCGGCCGGGAAATGAACCCCGGACCATGTGCATGGTCGGCAAGCGTCCTAACCGCTATACCACCGACGCTTCAGTGGGACCCTGAATTAATACTTTTATCATTTGAAGATATAATGTCACTGTTATCCGGTGTCGTAGATGTGTGTGTGTATCTATCCTCACATACCTAGCTTGACTGACTGAATGCTTCATTTCTTCTCATTCGAAACTCTTGGAATATGTACCGGGGAACTAATACACGAATAAACTGAATCTATTAGTTTCAAGTGTCCAACATATTTATTAGTTCTATATTGTGTTTTTTTCAAACATTTAACTGAAGGGTTTTGACAGTAGTGATAAAGTTTATGTGAGGATAGACATGGATACAGAGTTAGGGATAGCAACACTTTACAGCTGAATACTTCCAAGATGCAACTGCACATACAGTGTAAGATTAACTAATTACACTGAGCAATATACGTTGTTCACTATATCTCTTCAATGAACATATATGTTTAAATCATTATAAATTACTTAAAATAATCCCGGAGTGTTTAAGAAAGAAAATCAAAACAAGATTTATCTGGATGTTTCGTAGTGTGTGTAAGTCACAGCTTCTTCAGCATCAGAATCATTCGTATTATATTAACCATCAAAATATATATAGTAATACATGCGTATTTGTCTGTATGAGTGTGTGTTTCTTTTTTGTTATGTGGAAAACACGTCAAAACACGATAATACTTCATAATATGGTTATATTATGGGATTTACTTTTCCTCATCTGGTTCGCTTCATTAGAGTCTACCAGATAGGTTGTAAGTCTATCTCTTCTCTCATATTTTCTGCATTCTGTGTAGTTGGTATATGCAAGGCTTAAAAGGTCAGCCTTTCTTTACATGGATGAAAGTCTCTTCCTAGAATTTCGACATTGTTGAACTCATTCTTATAATAATAATAATAATTTTATATTTTCATATAAACATAAATTTACATGAAAATGCATGCCATTTTTACAGGCACGATCAAGTATGATATAATGTCAAATAGTAAATTGTCTACAAGTTAGTAATGTTTGAACAGCTAAATATTTGATATATGTATAAATACACTCTTTGTCTGACCCATGTCGTATCACTATTGAATTAAACAGCAGTCCTCCAGGTTGCGCAGGAAAATCGACTTCATTTCGTTTTCAACCCGTAGTTGTAGGCATACGATAACCAACCAATATTGAGGTAAGTACAACGTTTACACGGGATAGTAAGCTGTTTTAGAAAAGTAAAGGTGCAAAGGTGAATCATTAAAGTGTAATGAAATAGGTAAATGCAATGTGTCATTAATAGATGCATTCATAAAGGAAATACAATGAGAGACTATAATCCCTAGGCTGACAAAGTTCCTTTGCAATGTATAATGCTACCCTATAGGTTTTACTATCATGTTCTCCACTTTTGGTTTAATACAATTATCCACAAGCCGGTTGTTTTTATTTCATACCTTTTTGTGTTTGGTGCACAACCGTACCCTATAGAGTATAGGAATAAAATAAGTCGAATCAAATTCATAAAGAGATATAAAATGTTAGGTTTAGTGGAATATAATGAGCAAGTGAAGACGTTATTAGAAAATGTATGATATGAAACATTGTTAAGTGATATTCGAAGATACGACAAAGGAAAGCATGTCAATTTATAAGATGCCCGATAAATCTGTGCAGAGCCTACGTGGTCGCATCTCAGCAATAGGCTGACCGAATGGTATATGTTTAAAGGTATAAGCATGATCTGTCCAGGCGATCATTATTATCTTATTCAAGATAAAGATTCAAGCCCTCATAGAAATCTCGAGCCATCAAATTGCATATTGCTGTTCCTGCAGATTGGGGCGATTCACCTTAGTGTCCACCACCATATCTACTGATCAGCATGCGCCACTGTCAAGAGCATGCATTGTTATAGGTTATCTTTTAAACTCCTGTATTTTACCTATTGTACTCTATTGTTTTCCATTAATCTTTCCTGGGCTTCTTAAAAAAGACTATGTCATATTACGAAAGGTATTAAATGATATGAGTAGGGCTTGTGGTATGCCACTGCGTGAGCTCACCAATATTATAGTCAAGAGACATATAAAATCCTGTACAAAAAGGGCACAGGCCGTACTGTCAGACCCCCTGAACCCCCTTTATTCACAACTATCCCCTTGCATCTCATCAGGTAGGACGAGAAGTCAATATAATAAATTATATGCTCGTACCAATAAGTACAAAAATTCTACAATACCGTATTTAGCTCGTATTTTATGTGATGAAGACTCTGTTAGACGTGAAGCATATAAGTTACTATGTAATTAGCATAGTGAATCGACCCTTTCATTGTTCACCTTTCTGTAATTTTATGGTGTCACCCTTTCTATCGTTTAATTATAACTTTGCTATTTTTATTTTAGTTGTTATTACTATTATTACTATAATTTTATACTTTATGCGTATTTTTCTCCTTATTGTATTCTGTAATTGCTACATAGCTGCTATAAAAAAGTTTTGTTATCAATATTATGTAATGATTATTTCGTTTATTTATTTGTTGTTGCTGTCGTTTCTGAGTAAATTAGATGCAATATTGTACTGAATGCTGAAAATTCCTTGCTGTATCATTACTACTGTTTTTGGAATAAGGCAAATTATTATTATTATTATATCTCTTTTCTAGACTTTGTAGTGCTACTTCATTTCTAGATGGACGTTTCGTGTACAGTCTATGTTCATTCACTCTGACCTTCACCTGTCTACTGCTCTCCCCTATATAACAAGCTTCACATTCTGAACACTTTATCCTATAGACACAATTATTTTGTGACATTCTGGGGACCATATCTTCGACATTCACTAAAGCTTTCTCTAGAGAATTAGAGGGCTTGAATTAATAGACTTTAATATTATATGAAGCAATTAGTAGTCTTTGAAGTTGTTCACCTGTATCCTTTCGATATGGAACCGCTATCGTCAATATCAAAACGTTCAGAAATATCTTGCTTTGATTTTTTCTTAAACACGCTAGGATTATTTTAAAGTAATTTATAATGATTGAATCTGAGTTGGCACTGAAATTATTCTAGGAAATTCGTAACAACTACGGTCTGGAAACTTACAATATTTGTTCAAACTCAGCTATCCTTAACAGATCTTTCCTGTATCAGGCT